TCCTTACTGGATTCCAAAGTGACTGTAAGGTGAATGGCTTAGACAAACACATGCAAAAGGGATACCTAGCTTTTTTCCTGTTCTTAGTTAATTCATGGGTCCAAATAAGGAGTCAGAGCTTTTTAGCAAAAACAGGTTAAGCATTCTTAGAAATATAGAAGTTAAAAGTTGGGTGGTGAAAACAGGAAGGGTCCCAGAACTCTTATCTGCAAATCAGGGAATTAAAAATGGTGAATAAATTAGAGATTTAAGTATATTTAAAATTACAAAAGAAAAAATTGCAGAGTTAGACTGCTGTAATTTTTAGAAATATGGTAGAAATAGAAATAGTGTTAGTATAGATGAACATCATCTTTCATATAAAGGTTTGTAGATGCTGTCTAAAGATGGTTTTGCTGCTACATCATTTTTATTTAAATTCTTGTAGATAGCTACCAGAAAAACTTATTATCAGACTTCTAAAGTGGCTGTGTCTGAGGAGTTGCATTGGGGTAGGAGGAATAGAAAGGACTGCTGCTTTTGGTTTTAAGCTCTTTCTGACTACTTGTTACCATTGTGATACAGGACCCAATGAACTTTCATCCCAGCAGTAGCAAAATGGAATGGCTGAGATAAACTCTCTGGAAGAACTTAAGTGGAGGCTTTTTCTCAAGAAGTGGAGTAGGGGCTTTAGGAAGGGAGATGGGAAAGGTTTGTAAAGGACAGAATTGACAGAAGAGAGAGATCAGTTTTTATCCCTGATCAGAGGGAGGAACAGATGCTTTTCTGGTTGCTAGAATTGGCTAGGGTCTAAAAATTTTTCACTAGCTGTGAGGATGGCTTTTTTTTTTATTTTTTAGGAAGCCTCATGGTTTAAGAAGCTTTTTCTGTGTAAGATACAAACCAGCAACCAGTCCTATAGGTGGCTCACACCTATAATTGTAGGTACTTGGGAATCTGAGATGAGGAGGATAGTGGTTCAAAATAGCTTGCGAGATCCCATCTTCAAAATAACCAGAGTAGAATGGACTGGAGGTGTAACTTGAACAGTAAAGCATTTGCTTTGCCAGAGGGAAGGCCTGAGTTCAAACACTCTCTCTCTCTCTCTCACACACACACACACAGACTAACCCCAGCACTTGGTAGGCTTAGGCAAGATGATCACCAGTTCCAGGGCAGCCTAGGCAACATAGAAAGACCACATTGTAAAAAATTAAAACATATTTCTATGTATGTGTGTCTGTCCAGATCTGCGGGTGTTTGTCCTTGTATGCGCCGTAGTGTCACCCTGCACCTTGTGAATGTTTTGTCCCTGCTTAAGAATAGGAAGAATGGGGAGCAGGGATGGGTATGTTCTATATCTTGTTCACAGGGAGGACTTTACTTTTAGTAAATCACAGATTATTAAGGGCTCCAGTACCTCACTCTTGCCCCCATAGGGTCCCTGCTCTCCTTTATGTATTGTTTTTCATCCATGCACATTCATCAAAGAAAGTGATCATTTTTCCCCTTAATCTTAATTTCTACCCTAAAATATGGTTTTGTCAAGTAAACCCTTGTTTTCAAATATATGGTAACAGCAGTGGGATATGTGAAAGAATTAAGCATTGATCAATTACAGCAGAAATATTCTTTGTATTTAGGGCTGGGGGTGTGACTCAAGTGGTAGGGCACCTGCCTAGAAAAATTCTTTGTATTCTGTAGTTCTAGATCAAGAGGATAATGGGGGTGAGTTTTGACTTGCTAAAATAAGTAGTATCTAAAATTGTTTCAGGTAGAATTTGAAATGTTTGTCTTCCAATTATTGCCATTTGTATTTAAATTTCTGTGTAGTGAAAGAATGCAAAAAAGCAACAAAATATTTCAAGAAAATAACCATGAAATGAAAAGAAAGCTCCAAAAACAATTTCTGTAGTTAGAGAAAAACTCTAGTAATGATAAACTTCAGAGCTATGACAAGATGCTTCTGGAAAGCATTTAATAATTGGACTTACATCTCAAGTGGCTGATGACTTCCACCGTAAATTGATCCATTGTTCACAATGAAGGTGGATAACTAGAATTTTCCAGAAGGCCTGAAACATGGGTCAAGTGATAAAATACCTGCCTAACAAGTGTGAAGCCTTGAGTTCAAACCCCAGTACCACCAAAAAAAAAAAGTTTTCCAGAAGTTTTAAAAAGGTTTCTTTTCCTGAGTAGGAAAACTCCTACACATCATTAGAGAATCAGATTTCATAGTTCACTGTGCTTCAAACAATGCAGAAAAAAATTGGGGGCTGACTTGGGATTTGCACTCAGGGCTTCATGCTTACTAGGCATGAACTACCACTTGAGCCACACCTCCAACCCAGAATGCAGAATTTGAAGGGAGCTTAAGGCAGGGAATGAAGGGTTAAAATCAGAATGCCTAAGACTGTTGTGTCTGATGGATATAATCCTAATAAAAGAGAAGATGTGGCCGGGCACTATGCTCAGCTCTATAATCCCAGCTATTTTGGAGGCAGAGATCAGGGGAGAATCGTGGTTGGAACTAATCCAGGCAAAAAGTTAGCAAGACCCTATCTCAGTCAATGAGCTGAGTGTATCAGTGTCTGTAATCTCAACTATGTGGGAGGCTGGAAGTAGGAAGAGATCCCGACTTGTTCTGGGCAAAAACATGAGATGCTATCCTTTAAAAAGATAATAACCCTAAAAGCAAAGAGGGATGGAGGTATAGCTCAAGTGGCAAAGCACAATGGTAAGGTATTATAGTCAAATCCCAACTCTCCCCCTGCCCAATAAAAAAGAAGACAAATTTTATAATATGGAAAATATAACCTAGGAAGCATTTACTTCATGTCTAGTTTTAATGTAACGTTTTAGGATTTAAATTATAAATTTCTGGCCTAAGTTTGTTAAATGCACAAAATTCCAAAAAGTTGGTGAGGTTTCTTTTCTTTCTTTCTTTTTTTCTAATGGTACCCACAGTCTCATGCTTGCTAGCCAGGCACCACCTGAACCACTCTCCCAGCCCCTAAAGAGTTGTTTTAATCTAACGAATTTCCCAATAATAAATATTAATGTTCCTTTGAAGTCTTAAGTAGATGTTGAATTTAGCTCTTCTAACCTTTGGACTCATTGTTTACTCCTTTTCATCTCTGGTTGCCAATTTTCATCATCACAGAACCTGGCAGAAGATCCATCATGAATATTTTCTGTATTAGAACCATTCTAAGCATTATGTACTTTTTAATGCCACTTAAAAAATTGCTTATAGCATGTGGTTATTACAAAGAACAGTGACATGAAGACAGGAGGCTGAATCACAATCTTGACTCTAATCCTCAATTATGTAATAATGTTGGACAAGTTATTAACTTACCTGGTCCTGTTTCCTCATTTATGAATTAAGAGGTCAGATCTGATCATTTAATCCATGTTAGACTAAGTTATTAAAGTTCAGGTGTTTTTAAAAAATTGTGAAAGGCATGCAGTTTATCCTTGTCATCTCTTGTCATATTCCCTTAACAAAATGTGGAAAACAAGATTATTTTTATCCTCTCTGAATTTATAAAATTTGGAATTTATAAATTGGTTTAACTTTTCAAACTTTTAATTCAGGTAAGACATGAATCATCTCCATTTATACCAATAGATAATGAAACAAAAATGTAACATGATTTAACTTTTAAAACTACAGTGTTAACAAAAGGAAACGCAGAGAGCTCTGTTCCAGTTCCTATTCCTTCTGAACAACCTATCTCAAAGCATAGTGGTTATTAGCACAATAATTTACCTCACAAAATCTGCATTTGGAGAGAGAAGCTGAGGTGGCTTCTCTCTGTTCCATGAAGTGCCAGCTGGGACCACTGGGGCTGATTGATATTATCTCAGTTCTTTCCTTCATAGCAAAACTCCTGAAGTTTTGTATAATCACTGACACCAGTTTTCTCCTTTAAAAATTATTTTTAAAAAAATTCATTTTGAAATAATTTCAGATATGTAGAAAATTTGCCAGAATGGTAAAATGACTCCTGTATTCACTCACCAAGGTTCCCCAATTATTATTTTTTATCACATTTGTTCCATTGCTCAGTATTCTTCCCTCTCTCTCTATGTATGTACACATACACTTTAAAAAAATTTTAAAACACAAGCTTTACCATTGATGTCTCATCACTACTAAATACTCCAGTCTGCATTTCCAGCAATACAGACATTTTTCTATAAAATACTATACACCCCTCCAAACCAGGAAGCCAACATTCGGACAATATTGCCACAGAAACTGCAAACCCCATTCAAATTTCACCAATTATCTTGTTTCTCTTGTTACTTTGTGGTTCAACCAAGATCGTATCTCGGAATATGTGATGGGTTTAGTTGTTGTGTCTCTTCAAACTCATTCAATTGAAAATTTTCCTTAGTCTTTTCTTTGGCAGTTTTAGAATATTGTGTAGGGTGGATCTCAGTCTCTGCCTATCAGATGCTCACCATGACCAAACTTAAGTCACACATTCTAGGGAACACCATCATTGAAATGACACTAGATGCTTGCATCAGGTGACATACAGCATCCACCTGTTCCACCACTAGTGATGTTACCCTTGATCTTCTGATTATATTGATTGTGCAAGATTTCTTACATCACGTCAGCATTAACCTCTTTGTAACTCATAGTACTTTATGGAGAGTTTTCCAGGATAACACCAATACATTCCTCATCAAATGGATGCATTAACATCCATTGACAATCCCCGTTTGATCAAACACCTCTGTGATGGTGACAGGTGATGATTTTCTGTTTCATCCTTCTACATTTAATTACTTGGTACAGAAGAGCTTTCCCTTCACTTACATTTGTTCATTTATATATACAAGGACTCACTGAATCCTGTTTATCTCTAGGTAGTAACTCACTGTTAACTACTTTAATGCTCAAACTATTGATTTAGTCAGTGGGAGTCCCTTCAGATTGCCTCTTGTGTGTTTCATTCATTGAGCACTTCTTTACTTTTCTGACACCAAAAAATGTTCCTGATTCACAGCATATTTGTACTACCCCAGCTCTGGAATCACTTTTTCTTCAAAGAGTTCTAGTGACTGTTAGTGAAGCATAGGTATTCAGAATACAAGATCTGGGTACCCAGTTTCTCATAGCTACTTGGGTGGGTGCCATTACTTCTAGGTTCTCTTGGGATTAAAAAAGGTAGGAAGTAATCTCCATATATTAGAAGTCACACAATTTTAATATGTGGACCTTTGTTTGCAGGGGAGTAACTAACAGAAGTCTAAGATGTTTCTGTCAGTGAAGAAAATAAATTTACTCTCTTTTTCTCTCCCAGGTATGTGTAACCCTCGAAATTACAGCGACACACCTCCCACTTCCAAGAGCACAGTAGAGGAGCTGCATGAGCCCATCCATCCCTCTTCCGGGCACTCACGGAAGGAGATACCCAGTTGAACTGGAACATCGTTTCCTTCCCTGTTGCAGAAGAACTTACACATCATGAGAATCTGGTTTCATTTTTAGAAACTGTGAACCAGCCACACCACCAAAATGTATCTGTTCCTAGCAATAATGTTCATGCACCTTATTCCAGTGACAAAGGTACCTGCCAAGTTGAGTCTTCCTATTTTTCCCCTTGTGTGTTCTGTTGTTATGATTTATGAAAGCTGCATTGGATTATCTTTTGGAGCAGCTTTTTGGTTTTTGAATTTGTATAGTCTGAGGTAGATTCTAGATTTCTATAATCTGGATCCCTGAGTAGATGATGAGGCATCTCGACATATTATCTAGATTGCTCTGTACTCCTGGTGATAAGAGACAGTGTAGGAAAAACAGGTAATTGTTCCTAATTCTGTTATTTATTTATGTTAGGCGTTAACTACTTTTTGGTGTTTTTTTTTGTTTTTGTTTTTGTTTTTTTTTTTTAATAAGATGGTGTCTATGCTGTTTACCTAATACAGCATTGCTCACCATCGGGTAACAGTTACAGTGTCCTGTGATGAAGTCAAGCTTTTATAGTAGCATTGGTGCTGAAGATGATAGTTTTTTATGAGCAAGTTTGTATTGCAGGCATCCCATTTCCATTTATAAACTATTCCCTACCAGCTCTCTGCAAATGGGTGCTGTTGGTCACAAAGGGAATGACTTACATAAATCTGAGCTCTTTTACTAATGAGGATAAATCATACTATGATTTTGGAATGTAAAGGGCATGTAAGCTTTGTAAAGTCTTTGATATGATCTAGTAAAAGGTACCATACAATTTATTATAGAAAAAATAAGACAACTAGGAAAATTGCAGCTATGTCTTAAAGCATGAGGAGAATTACGTAGAAATAGCAGAATTTGTACTCTTTATTTGGCTATTTGTTGTGCCCTTCATTACAATCCTACCTATACAAGGACTGGAGGTGTGTCTCAAGTGGTAGAGTGACATTCCTACCTATAATAGAACTTTGGATGTTAATAGTAAAAGCAAAACAGCTTTTGTTAAATGACAGTAAGAAGTTTTATTTTCTGGGGTAGGGGGCATAGCTCAAGTGAAGCCTTGGGTTCAATTTCCGGTAGCTTGGGGACAGGGAAGAATTCTTATTTCATTTATTTGCTTGCTTGCTTACTTACTTATTTATTTATTGGTGGTACTAGGGGTTGAGCTTAGGGCCCAGTGCTTGCTAGGTAGGGGCTACCACTTGAGCCTCTCTGCCAGTACCTTTTGGGTTGGTTATTTTTGAGACGGGGGTCTCACTTCATGCTCAGGCTGGCCTGGCCTAGGATCCTCCTGTTTGTGCTTCCGCATTTAGCCATGGATGACTGGCTACTGTCAGCATCCCCAGCCATTGTTTCAAATGGGGTCTCGTGACTTTTTACCCAGCTGGCCTTGAACTTCCATCCTCCTAATCACTTAGTACTTAGGCCAAAGTACTTTATAAAACAAATTCTAGGTCTTTGAAAACATCAGAAATATGTGGAACAAAATAATAATAAAATGTGCTATCATTTCCCTATTATTAAAATGTAATGAAATCATAAATATTTAATAATTTATAAATTTTTCTCAAAGTTTCTTAAGTTAATGAAAGTATTAGCAAGAAACTAATTCTTGAAAACCCATGTGTCCTTCCAAACAGCTAAAGGTTCTCTCCATGACACCTTTCCTAAGTGCCTCTTCCTCCAAATACTCAGCTACTTCCTTCTCTTCCTCCTGGCATTTGTGGTTCTGTTTTTAACAGATAGGTCTACTTTTTTCTACTCAGTTCCCAGTTCTCTGATTACTCTCTGAGTCCATAATAGCTAACCCATGTTAGGTGTTGATAAGTAGGTGTTGAATAAACAGATGAAATGAATTTAGTAGGTTCCAGTCACTTGGAAATTTGAACATGTTCACTTCCTGTTCACTGTCAGTTGCTCTGGTTTATGTCGTCTGGTGCTATGCTACCTCTTAGGTTTCTTTTTGTTGTTGTTTTAGTTTGTTTTTTAGGTTTTGGGCTAGCTTTGCCAGGGCTCCTTTTTCTGCTTCTGAAGTAGCTGGGATTACAGGTATGTACCACCACAGCTGGCCTTTTCTTTTTTTTTGAGACAAGGTTTCACTGTGTAGCCCAGGCTGGTCCCAAACTTGGGATCCTCCTACCTCAACCTCATGAATACTGGAATTACAGGAATGTGCTACTATACCAACCCTGTGTTTCCTCTTTTAACCAAGTCCATCTTAGGTTCCCAGTGATGGTCCTGCATTTCCCTGAATTGGGCTTGGCTCCCCCTTGTCCCCATGTAAACCATACCTACCTTTTTGGACATTCCTCTTCTGTTGCCTCAGAGCTTTGCTTTTCATTCTTCTTTCTAGCACAAATCCAGTTTTTTCTATTACGCCTTCTTACTATTCAGATCTTAGGTGATAACAGTTCTGTAAGTGGCTCTGTAAAAGATAACTGAGCCTTTGATCATGTAGCCTCTGTTAATGGTTTCTATTGCCCTTTGTTTATTTCGTGTACCTTACACTCCTAGCTTGGTAGTTCTATGGGATTAACCACCAGGAGAACTGAAAATGGAAACAGTCAATCCAGTCAAAAGTGATTGTCTTGTTGGAAAGTAGAGCTAAAAATCATTACTAATATTTTTTCGGAAGTATTGGGGTTTGAACTCAGGGCCTGTGCTGGTTGACCAGGTGCTGTAACTACTTGAGCTACATCTCAAACCCTTTTTGCTTTATTTTTCAAGTACGGTTTTGTGATTTTTGCATAGGCTGACCTCAGACCACCACCATCCTACCTACACCTCCCACGAAGCTAGGATTAAAGGTGTATACTAACATACCTGGTTTGTTCTTTGAGATAGCATCTTGATAACTTTTTTGGCTTGGCTGCCTTCAAACCTTGATCCTCCTGTCATTGCCTCCCTAGTTGCAAGGGTTAAAGCTGCGAACCACAACAACCTGCCTCGTTATTAGTATGATTTAATGACTAATGTGTATTGCTAAACACTGCATCATTTGAATTACCTAAGTAATTCTACTTTATTGATTTATTTTTAAGCCATTTACAATTTATTATTTATTTATTTATTTATTTTTATTTAATTTTTTTATTCATATGCGCATACAATGCTTGGGTCATTTCTCCCCCTGCCCACCCCCTCCCTTACCACCCACTCCCCCCTTACCCCCACCCCCTCAATACCCAGCAGAAACTTTTTGCCCTTATCTCTAATTTTGTTGAAGAGAGAGTATAAGCAATAATAGGAAGGAACAAGGGGTTTTGCTAGTTGAGATAAGGATAGCTATACAGGGCATTGACTCACATTGATTTCCTGTGCGTGGGTGTTACCTTCTAGGTTAATTCTTTTTGATCTAACCTTTTCTCTAGTTCCTGGTCCCCTTTCCTATTGGCCTCAGTTGCTTTTAAGGTATCTGCTTTAGTTTCTCTGCATTGAAGGGCAACAAATGCTAGCTAATTTTTTAGGTGTCTTACCTATCCTCACCCTCCCTTGTGTGCTCTCGCTTTTATCATGTGCTCAAAGTCCAATCCCTTGTTGTGTTTGCCCTTGATCTAATGTCCACATATGAGGGAGAACATACGATTTTTGGTCTTTTGGGCCAGGCTAACCTCACTCAGAATGATGTTCTCCAATTCCATCCATTTACCAGCAATGATAACATTTCGTTCTTCTTCATGGCTGCATAAAATTCCATTGTGTATAGATACCACATTTTCTTAATCCATTCGTCAGTGTGGGGCATCTTGGCTGTTTCCATAACTTGGCTATTGTGAATAGTGCTGCAATAAACATGGGTGTGCAGGTGCCTCTGGAGTAACCTGTGTCACAGTCTTTTGGGTATATCCCAAGAGTGGTATTGCTGGATCAAATGGTAGATCAATGTTTAGCTTTTTAAGTAGCCTCCAAATTTTTTTCCAGAGTGGTTGTACTAGTTTACATTCCCACCAACAGTGTAAGAGGGTTCCTTTTTCCCCGCATCCTCGCCAACACCTGTTGGTGGTGTTGCTGATGATGGCTATTCTAACAGGGGTGAGGTGGAATCTTAGTGTGGTTTTAATTTGCATTTCCTTTATTGCTAGAGATGGTGAGCATTTTTTCATGTGTTTTTGGCCATTTGAATTTCTTCTTTTGAGAAAGTTCTGTTTAGTTCACTTGCCCATTTCTTTATTGGTTCATTAGTTTTGGGAGAATTTAGTTTTTTAAGTTCCCTATATTCTGGTTATCAGTCCTTTGTCTGATGTGTAGCTGGCAAATATTTTCTCCCACTCTGTGGGTGTTCTCTTCAGTTTAGAGACCATTTCTTTTGATGAACAGAAGCTTTTTAGTTTTATGAGTCCCATTTATCTATGCTATCTCTTAGTTGCTGTGCTGCTGGGGTTTCCATTGAGAAAGTTCTTACCTATACCTACTAACTCCAGAGTATTTCCTACTCTTTCCTGTATCAACTTCAGAGTTTGGGGTCTGATATTAAGATCCTTGATCCATTTTGAGTTAATATTGGTATAGGGTGATATACATGGATCTAGTTTCAATTTTTTGCAGACTGCTAACCAGTTTTCCCAGCAGTTTTTTGTTGAAGAGGCTGCTATTTCTCCATCGTATATTTTTAGCGCCTTTGTTAAAGACAAGTTGGTTATAATTGTGTGGCTTCATATGTGGGTCCTCTATTCTTTTCCACTGGTCTTCATGTCTGTTTTTGTCCCAGTACCATGCTGTTTTTATTGTTACTGCTTTGTAATATCTTTGAAATCAGGTATCGTGATACCTCCAGCATTGTTCTTTTGACTGAGTATTGCCTTGGCTATTCGTGGCCTCTTGTGTTTCCATATAAATTTAATGGTAGATTTTTCAATCTCTTTAATGAATGTCATTGGAATTTGGATGGGAATTGCATTAAACATGTAGATTACTTTTGGGAGTATAGACATTTTTACTATGTTGATTCTACCAATCCACGAGCATGGGAGATCTCTCCACTTCTATAGTCTTCCTTGATCTCTTTCTTCAGAAGTTTATAGTTTTCCTTGTAGAAGTCGTTCACATCTTTTGTTAGGTTTGTACCTAGGTATTTGATTTTGTTTGAGGCTATTGTAAATGGAATTGTTTTCATATTTTTTTTTTCAGTTTGTTCATTATTAGTGTATAGAAATGCTAATGATTTTTCTATGTTGATTTTATGTCCTGCTACCTTGCTGTAGCTATTGATGATGTCTAGAAGCTTCTGAGTAGAGTTTTTTGGGTCTTTAAGTAGTAGGATCATGTCATGTGCAAATAGGGATATTTTGACAGTTTCTTTACCTATTTGTATTCCTTTTATTCCTTCTTGCCTAATTGCTGTGGCTAGGAATTCCAGTACTATGTTGAATAGGAGTGGAGATAGTGGGCATCCTTGTCTAGTTCCTGATTTTAGAGGGAATGGTTTCAGTTTTTCTCTGTTAAGTATAATGCTGGCTGTAGGTTTGTCATACAGCTTTTATAATGTTGAGGTACTTTCCTTCTATTCCTGTTTTCCTTAGAGCTTTTATCATGAAATGGTGTTGGATCTTATAAAAGGTTTTTTCTGCATCTATTGAGATGATCAAGTGGTGTTTGTCTTTGCTTCTGTTAATGTGGTTTATTACGTTTATTGATTTTCGTATGTTGAACCACCCCTGCATCCCTGGGATGAAGCCTACTTGGTCGTGGTGAATAATCTTTTTGATGTGTGGTTGAATTCGGTTTGCCATTATTTTGTTGAGGATTTTTGTATCAGTGTTCATTAAGGAGATTGGTCTATAGTTCTCCTTTTAGGAGGTGTCTTCTCCTGGTTTTGGGATAAGTATAATACTGGCTTCATAAAATGTGTTAGGCAGTTTTCTTCCCTTTCTGTCTCGTGGAACAGTTTAAGGAGGGTTGGTATCAGTTCTTCTTTAAAGGTCTGATAGAATTCAGCAGACAATCCATGAGGTCCTGGACTTTTCTTTTCAGGGAGATTCTTGATTGCTGCTTTAATTTCATTTTGTGTTATAGAGCTATTCAGGTGATTAATTTCCTTTTTTTTCAGTTTTGGATGATCATATGTATCTAGAAATCTGTCGGTTTCTTTAAGATTTTCAAATTTATTTGAATATAGGTTCTCAAAGTAGTCTCTGATGATTTCCTGGGCTTAAATGGTGTTTGTTGTTATCTCCCGTTTTGCATTCCTGATTCTACTAATTTGGGTTTTTTGCTGTCCTCATTTAGTTAGGTTTGCAGGGGGTCTGTCCATCTTGTTTATTTTTTCAAAGAACCAACTTTTTGCTTCATTAATTCTTTGTATGGCTTTTTTGGTTTCTATTTCGTTGATTTCAGCTCTTATCATTATTATTTCTCTCCTTCTATTTGTTTTGGGATTTGCTTGTTCTTGTTTTTCTAGGAGTTTGAGATGTATCATTAGGTCATTGATTTGGGATCTTTCAGTCTTTTTAATATATGCACTCACGGCTATAAACTTTCTTCTCAGGGACTGCCTTTGCTGTGTGCCATAGGTTCTGGTAGGTTGTGTTTTCATTTTCACTGACTTCCAGGAACTTTTTAATTTCCTCTTTTATTTCATCAATGACCCATTGTTCATTAAGTAGTGAGTTATTTAGTTTCCAGCTGTTTGCATGTTTTTTGTCTTTACATTAGTTGTGAGTTCTAGTTTTATTGCATTGTGATCAGATAGTATACACGGTACAATTTCTATTTTCTTATATTTGCTGAGGCTTCCTTTGTGCCCTAGGATATGATCTATTTTGGAGTAGGTTCCATGGGCTGCTGAGAAGAATGTATATTGTGTAGAAGTTGGATGAAATGTTCTGTAGACATCAACTAGGTCCCGTTTGATCTGTTGTATATTTTAGATCTAGGATTTATTTATTGATTTTTTGTTTGGATGACCTATCTATTGATGATAATGGGGTGTTAAAGTCTCCCACAACCACTGTGTTGGAGTTAATATATTCTTTTAGGTCCTTCAGGGTATGTTTGATGAAGTTGGGTGCGTTGACATTGGGTGTGTATAGGTTGATAATTGTTATTTCCTTTTGGTCTGTTTCCCCTTTTATTAGTATGGAATGTCCTTCTTTATCTCGTTTGATCAATGTAGGTTTGAAGTCTACTTTGTCAGAGGTAAGTATTGCTACTCCTGCCTGTTTTTGGGGGCCATTGGCTTGGTAAATCTTCTTCCAGCCTTTCATCCTAAGCCTATGCTTATTTCTGTCGGTGAGATGGGTCTCCTATAAACAACAAATTGTTTGATCTTCCTTTTTAATCCATTTGGTCAAACGGTGCCTTTTGATGGGGGAATTAAGTCCATTAACATTAAGTGTTAGTACTGATAGGTCTGTGGTGATTACTGTCATTTAGTTGTCTTAGTTGTTTGAAGGTTTGAATTTGTGTACCCAAGTTGAGGTTACTCTCTACTTTCTTGCTTATTCTTTTCCTGTAGTTTGGTGCTGCCTACCCTTTCATGGTTATGTTGGGTTTCAGTTTCTGTGTGCAGAATCCCTTGAAGAATCTTTTGTAGCGGTGGCTTTGTGGTCACATACTGTTTTAGTTTCTGCTTATCATGGAAGACTTTTATTGCTCCATCTATTTTGATTGATAGTTTTGCTGGGTAGAGTATCCTATGGTTGAAGTTATTTTCATTCAGTGCCGGGAAGATCTCACCCCAAGCTCTTCTTGCTTTTAATGTTTCTGTTGAGAAGTTTGCTGTGATTTTGATGGGTTTACCTTTGTATGTTATTTGTTTTTTCTCTCTTACAGCCTTCCAATATTCTTTCTCTAGTTTCTGAACTTGTTTTTTTAATGGTGATATGTCGTGGGGCAGTTCTATTTTGATCTGGTCTGTTTAGTGTTCTGGAGGCCTCTTGTATCTGTATATGAATATCTTTCTCTAGATTTGGGAAATTTTCTGTCATTATTTTGTTGAATATATTACTCATTACCTTTACTTGCACCTCTTCTCCTTTTTCGATGCCCATGATTCTCAAGTTTGGTCTTTTGATGGAGTCGGTGAGTTCTTGCATTTTCTTTTCACAGGTCTTGAGTTGTTTAATTAATAAATAGTTCATGGTTTTTCCTTTAATTTACCATTTCATCTTCGAGTTCTGAGATTCTGTCTTCTGTTTGTTCTATTCTGCTGGATTGGCCTTCCGTTGTTTTGCAATTCTGTTTCTTTGTTTTTTCTGAGGTTTTCTATATCCTGGGTCGTTCCTCTTTAATGTTGTCTATTTTTTGTCCTGAGTTCATTTATCTCTTTATTAATCATGTTCTCTGTTTCACTTTGGTGTTTATACAGTGCTTCTATGGTTTCCTTTATTTCTTCTTTTGCTTTTTCAAACTCTCTGTTTTTGTTGTCTTGGAATTTCTTGAGTGTCTCCTGTACATTTTGGTTGACCATATCCAGTACCATCTCTATAAAATTCTCACTGAGTACCTGTATTATGTCTTCTTTTAAATTTTTCTTGTGGGCTTCGTTGGGTTCTTTGGCATAGTTTATCTTCATTTTGTTGGCGTCTGGATCTGAGTATCTGTTTTCTTCATTTCTCTTTGGTTCCTGTAGTAATTTTTTGCTATGGAGGAACTGGTTTCCCAATTTTTTGTCTTCCTGTCATTGCTCTTGTTGTTGTTATTGTCCCTGTACTGTGTGCAATTAAGTATTTTCTGGCTTGTAATAATAGCACTAGTGATATTTAGAATGGAAGGATAAGAGGGGATGCAAGGCAAAGAAGTTAAAGAAAAGGGAAAAACAAATAATCAAGTAGAAAAAAAAACAAAACAAAAAACAGAAAAAGTTTCAAAGACATAAACAGGGAGAGACAGTGTACTAATCAACCGTAAGCTTGTCCGTGTCTTCCCAAGCCGTCTGGGCTCGGGCGTCTGGCGGCCCGGGCGCCCTCCTGGTTTCTCCATTTAACGTGAAGTGGAGATTCTCTGTGCACGTTGGAGGTGTGGAGGGGTCAAAGTTTTGCCTCTTCTCGGTGGCCTTGCCTGCAAGGTGTGTCTCCAGTGTCTCTGCAAGATTTCACTTTAGGAGGCATGCTTTCTGCTTCCTCCCTCTAGTCGCCATCTTGGAATCTCCGTAGTTTTACTTTATTGTAAATTCTCTGTATAACCTTAGAACAGTATTTTTCAGACTTCTTTTTGAATAGAGATTTATCTCTTCATAGGAAGCCTATCAGACATACTCAGCTGTATAGTTTAACAGATCATTTTAAAGCCCAATAGTCTGTAAGTCACATTCTGAAGTTTGATAGCAGCCATTAAGAAAGCCCTTTGCTTTGTTCATCTGAAGTGGAAGAACTCTCAATGTAATTAACAAATGAAGATCTTTTTTTTTACACCTCATCTTTGTTCTGTACAGACCAGCAATAAGAGAACTAACACAAGTAATGGTTGGCATTATTCAGTTGTGTAGCAAAACATTTTGTTTTCATTTTCTTGTGCTAAAAATTGAGAAAAATCTTAATTTTTTATTTTTCAGAGCACATGTGTACAGTGGTTTATTTTGATGACTGCATGTCCATACATCAATGTAAAATATCCTGTGAGTCCATGGGAGCATCAAAATATCGCTGGTTTCATAATGCCTGCTGTGAGTGCATTGGTCCAGAATGTATTGACTACGGTAGTAAAACTGTCAAATGTATGAACTGCATGTTTTAAAGATGGAAAAGAAATGTAAACCAAAGCAATTTAATCAAAAAGAAACATAAATTACTCAGTGAGTCTACTTGGTTGTAGAAGAATGCCAACAAGTTGTGAAGATGTAAAGAATTTGCAGTAGGTTACCTTTAAAGTATATATTCAGGAATATGTTAAATTACACGATTATAACTGCTCTTGCTAAGTTTATTTCCCAGGAGCAAAATGTCTTTTCCTTTGGGTCCATGTATAGCTTTGGTCATATGGGAAACAGGTGTTCAAAATGTTCCTGGAAAGATCTGAGATTTTTAAAGAAAGCCTGATGCTGTTATGCTGTTTTCTTCTGGTGTTCCAAAGCTTTCTGTTTTGAAAGTATTAGCAAAAGACTATTAACCTGAGCTGTGTTTTCTTTTACTGCTACTCCTAAGACACTGAGTGCATCATTCTTCAATGTGCCTTATAATATTCATCTGTTTTATAAGTAGGTTATTCAGATATATCACTCTGACAACTCACATAAAAATTACCATGAAAAACTTAATTTCAGGCTTTTTTTTATATTGGTTTTAGAAAGTAAATACTTACTGTGGTTTGCAGTCAAAAACTGTTACGTGCCGGTAGCTCTTGCGTTTAATCCTGGCTATTTGGGAGGCTGAGATTGGGAAGATTGCCGTTCAAGGCCAGTGGGCAAATAGTTTGCCAGACTCCATCTGCAAAATAACAAGATCAAAATGGTCTGGAGGTATGGCTCAAGATGTAGAGTGCCTGCTTTGCAAGCATGAAGCCTTGAGTTCAAATCTCTGTCCCACATGGGAAAAAAAAAAACCTCTTACATGGTAGAATCTATACTATAATACACATACTGACAGTGCTTTACAGAGAGTTTCTTAGTCTCTTCTATTCCCCATCTAAAGTGCTGATGTAGCCAATAGAGTCATCTCTGCCAAGAATTTCAGGGTACACCTTTGAAACTGTATAAATACATAGTGAGGGTACTTAGTGAGTTAAAGTATTTCCGTCAGCTAAAGTCCTAGCTTAAATAGCACTGGGGCTTGGGAATGACTGCCAAATCAGATTCCACTGAGAGCACCCAGGAAGGAGCTGTCCTCTTGTAGGGAATCAGCATAGGTAAAAGCAAGGCTGTGTTGGGAGAAGGAATCAGCCAAGTATTAGCACGACAGAACCAGGTTCCTCAGTAGGTATGTGATGAAAGGGGAATTATGGAAATTTGAGGAAATGAGCAGGGGAGGATAAAAATGCTGGAAACTATAATGGAGGTTAACTTAATAAATATTTATGTTCATTTTTGTTATTTTGTAATCTTTCACTTGGATCTGTTCTATTTGGATCTAATGTTCTTATAAAACAAGTGTATTGTGGAAGACTAGGATTCTGAAATTGAAAAATATTTCTATTCAAGATGTTCACTCTAAATATACTACAGAATTATTTAGTTGTCTTATATGATGTTTCAATAGAAGATAAGCTAAAATACTGTGTGGACTTCATAGTAATAAAATCCTCATATTCAAGCATGAATCAAAAAATAAGTATATTGCAGACTCTTAAGTTTTATGAGTTGCTTATTTCTCTAGTGCATATTTGAATTATAAGTAACTTTTTAGGAATACCTCTATATGTCACATATTTTAGTATCTAAAAATAGTGCTCTTGGATGGATACATTTTATATTATTCATTATTTGAACAGTCGTTAGTGACAAGATTATTTGTGATATTATGATTAAGTATTACAAAATTTAAAGCCTTGACACCTTTCCTGCTCTTTCAGATAACTCTAATGAGTATTCAAGATACTTAGCCTTTTAAGACTTTGAGAATTAGCTTATGGGTATATTTGATAGTTAGACATTATGGTATCCTTTCTTACTTTTATCTAGGGTGCCTCTGTTTAAAGTGCCTTAAATACTTTTAAGACCCTTCGTCATTAGCACCTAGAGAGCTGAGGGTTCTCTTGAATTTGAGAAGAAGTTTTAAAGAAATCTGCAACAGGCTGCTTTATTTCAATTTTGCTAGTTTTCAAGTAATTTCACACCTATGAGTGGAGGAATGCTTTTGTGTTCATTGGCCGCATGCTTCATGTTTTCTTAAGATGACAACAAACATTTTAAAAGAGCATTCATCTTTTTTTTAGCTCTTCCTTATTAAATTTTAAAATGCAATCTCTTTTTTGCCCGCTACATTTCTTAGTGGATAATTTCTTAACCATATTATTTTAAGTGATTTTTCTTATCTCTAGTTCTCCCACTAGAAATTAGCCCCAGTGAGGTAGTGTCTTTACATTCAAATTTTGCTTATTTCTTCTGGTCTACCAAGGGCTTGAGAAAAGTTCACCTATAAGATTCTATTTCTAGTTCTGCAGTGCATTCAAGGTTTTGAATAATGTTTTTCCATTATAATAATGTTGAAAGTACAACATTTGAGAAGCCAATGGCCTCACTAAAATTTGGACCCTCTTTACCATTCTGGCATATTCACTGCTATATTGAAGCTTTGGTAAAAATTCATTTTTCTTTTTTAATCAAAAACTATGTTGTTTCCTTTATTATAATCAGATCAAAAAACATCAGATTTTAAGGGATAGGGATGTAATTCAGTGGTAAAGCCCTTGCCTAGCATGTGCAAAGCCCTGGATTCAATCCCCACAAAATAAATAAATAAATAAATGAAGACCAAAAAAAACCAACCCACTAGATTTTAAATTAGGAAGTCCTTTCCTATAATAAGACATGCTTGCTAGCAGGTTTTTCTGTTGTTTTCTCCCCCCATAATATTAATTGTTATTTTAAGTGTATTCATAATCATAGTACAAAATCAAATGATAATTAAGTAAAATCTAGTGGGTTTTTTTTACATGAGATGCTATAAAAGAGAGGTCTTCACGTAAAAATATGACTTCTAAAGTTGCAGAAAACACATTGATAAGATACTAGAATATTTGAACAATATATCTATAAATCAGAATAACATCAAAATGAAACAAACTAAAACTGTTCTGGATAATGAGGTAATTATAAATTAGCCACATTTTAAAAATTCATTTTTATGAAAGCTTCTTTGAAGATGTTAAAATCTATTCTGCATTCCAAAGAGTCTATGTTTATTGTATTTTACATGATCTACAATATAGAAAATTGTATTTTTTCTTTAGTTGTCTCTAAAAACAAAAAGTATTTTAATAAAAAAATTGAAATGAATGTGAGTCATGGTTTCGTTAATTTCAGCATAGACCACCAAAATAAGACTGACATTCCTGTCTAGTGAAGTTACCATTTTAAGGATCAGTGAAGCAAGTCCTTTTCTCTCTGACTGTCCCCACAGATTCTTTTGGAATGGGGACCTTTGAAGTTTGCTCTCAGCTTCCTTGGGTGTTTCATTTATGGGAGAGCCTTTGAAACAATACTCCACCATTTTGCTTCTGTGTGCCTCAGGATATCGGCCAGCTTTACAAGACCGATATAGTGACTTGAAGGAGGCCTGAAAAGATCAAGGAAGGAAGATGACTTTCCCAGTTCTCCCACAACCTTCTCACAGGCCAGTATTACTGTTAGAATTGAGAGGCAGAGCTGCGCTGATGTAGCAAAATCCACACAGTGGCAGCTATATTGTACAGGGGAACCTGGAAAGGGGTGTTGTTGCAAGAGGGTGGCTGAGTACTTAAGAGAAGGTGCAGCTGAGGAATTCAGGAGGTATAGTTCCAGGGAAAACAGAACATTTGTTAGGAAAGTTGTTCTTCTGCTGAAGTAGAAGCTGGTCTTGTGGAAGGAGAATTGGAAGAAGATAAAGCTAACATGCAGAGTCGGAGGACACACCTGTCTGAAGCTCAAAGACCTATGCAGCTTGACAGTACAGGGTACCTCCTGCCCCACCCGGCTGTCTTTTTTTAAGTTAATATGTTTTATTTTTAATTTACACATAGTAATTTTATATATTTGTTGGGTGCAGTGTGATTATTCAGTACATGTGTATGATGCATAATGATCAGATCAGGGTAATTAGCGTATCTGTCACCTCAGACACTTATTTCTTTGTGTTGAAAACATTTAGAATCCTCTCTGCTAGCTATTTGAAATGCTCAATTAGTTGTTGTTAACCTTAGTTATCCTGATGTGCTTTGGAACATTAGAAATTATTCTCCATCCACATGTACCTCTGTATACACGGGCTATGTCTGTCCAACCCCTTTCACCCTTCCCAGCTTCTGGTACTACTTTTATTTATGTATTTATTTATTTTGGTATTGGAGTTTGAACTCAGGGCCTCATGCTTGCTGGGCATGCGCTGTTCAGCTTAAGCCATGCCTCCAAACCCTACTCTCTGCTTTGAGGGTAACTTTTTCCTTTCCACATGTAAGTGAGAACATGTGGCACTTGTCTTCTTTTGCCTGACATATTTAACTTAATATCCACCAAGTGCATCCATACTTGCAAATGACAGTATTTAATTCCTTTTATGACCAAATAACAGTCCATTAGGTATATGTGCCACACTTTTTTTTTTTTTTTTTGTGGTATTGGGGTTTGAACTCAGGGCCTTGCATTTTGCCAGGGAGCCTGTACCACTTGAGCTGTTCCACCAGTACTAACCATACTATCTTTATTCATTCATCCATCAGGCTGCTGGGTTCAGTAAGCCAGCCACTTACCTTCATTACCTGGTGGGTCTTAGAAATTAGTGTTCTTTGTTGTTTCAGATATTTCCTATCCAGTACAAAGTAAAATCATTTTATCTCGTGTTAACCAAAAATCATGGGGCATCATTGTTTGGGCCATTCTCCTGCCCCAGCAGCTAGGCCAGAATAGTTACTCACACTAAATACTACTGAGTCAAACAAGCTTTAAGGAAGCAGATCCCAAGACTCAAGACAGACTAATTTTTCTTGAAATTGGGAGACTTCAATCTAACTGAACATAATAGAAAAGTTCCCTCTGCTTTAACCTTCACAAAACGTAACCAGAAGTACCCAAATCAAACTAGTCAGGTTTTTGTTGTTTTCTATTTTTCCTTTTTCCTAACATGTAAAACTCATGTCCTGCCATTGCATAGCAGGAACTCTTTATGTTTTATAAAATGGAGGTTGCCCTGCTTGATGAATCTCAAGGAAAAGCCAGTAAGATCTATGATTAAATTTGTTGTTATAAGATCTTTTGACTTCCCTTTTATTTACTTACTTTTACTATTATTTTTTGAGACATAGTTTCACTATGTTCCCAGGCTAGTGTTGAATTCCTGGGCTTGAGTGATCCTACTGCCTCAGCTTCCAGGGTAGCTGGGAACTATAGGCTCCCACCAGCTCTTTTTATTTTAAAGTCAGTGCTTAAAGCATGGAGTAAGCAATAATCCTGAGGTTCATCTTTGGAAATGAGAATTAATTTTCTGGGGCTTGTATGTAATGAAGCTTGAGAAAGTGGAGGCTGCCTTACTTCCTCTGGTCAAAGTGACAGAAATTCCCTCATTTGACTGCTAGGAGCTGAGGCTAGACATAGTCACCATCAAAACACACAGCAAAAATGATTCTCCTGCTCTCCTGTCTTATCTCACACTGCAGCCAGCACTGTCTTTCTAACACACCTGTGCAGGTGATTACTACTCCCACCCCGGCAAACAGCAAGTGTTTGAGGTACTCAATGGGAATGCAACGGCAAAACAAAAACCTTTTGTTTTCCAGAAGCCTTCCCTGCTCCAGTATTCTGCAGGCGGAGGGGACGGTGA